GACCTTTTGGACCTTCCTCTGCCCGTAACGTAGCGTCTACACATGGGGACTTTTATATGTTAAATAATACCCTAAAACAAGCCTGTTTACAAAGTTTCAGCCCAGTCAGTATTATTTCCTTCAAATTTTGAAAATAATTCTATCTCTGCTCCACTTGGTCGTACAGACTTAAATAAAAAACGAAATTGTGCGGAATTTTGTAAGCTACAATTTTTATATCTACATAAATTTTCGTAAAGTTGATATTTTCCGAGTTATTTGCGAAAAACTGATTTTTGGGACCTTTTGGACCCTCCCCTCCCCGCAACGTAGCGTCTACACATGGGGACTTTTAATATGTTGAATAGTACAAGCCTAAAACAAGCCTGTTTACAAAGTTTCAGCCTAGTCAGTATTATTTCTTCGAAATCGACAAATTTCGAGTCATTTTACTGGGCTAAGTATAATACCAGTATTTTGTGCATACAAAAGTTTAATTCTAATACTTAGCTACATGTACTGAATTGTAATGTGCTCTTGTAAGTACTAATACTCTTGTCAATAAAATGCTGTGTCTCTAAATAACAATATGCAAATTCAAAATAGCATAAGACCGCAACTTCCTCATAAATAGATTATAACAGAGTAATACTAAATTAACATTCGTCAAATAGCTTGCTTCAATTATTGCTTCCACAAATAATACAATTAAAACAACTGTATACTAGAACATTTCATATATATTTGCAGTTGTAGCAAAATGAGAACATATTGCTATGGCATAAAATAACTTACTTTCTTGCGGGTCGCCCTTGAAAATACACTATTCGGTAATACTCTCTTGCGCGGACCCTCTCCTCGCACACATTTCAGCACACGCTAGAGGATTCTTGCACACTTACACCTTTGCATAGACATTCATTCCAGCTTTGCACTCCTACACGCCTGCCTAGACACCTACCTCCACTGGCTTGGCTAATTCACATAGATACGCTTTTCAGAAAACACATACATTGCCTGGATACCGAGTTACGTTTCGCGAGGTAAGTCACTTATTAGTTATCGTTCGCATTATTCGCTAAAGGAGCCTCACATATTCTCCTTACTACAATTACGGTCCTTCGAGTCGTTTTTACATTCGCCTTTTCGCCTCCGGAGGAATTAATACCCTTCCAAACATCTTATTATCTGCTTTTTTAGTGCTTCGTATTTGACACTTTTGTACCACATGCATATAGAATGACGTCTAACTATAATCCCTCTATTCTTACTCACAATCAGCTGATATCCTGTAGACGAGCCTGTAAATTTAATTTGCTTTCCCATTATTTCACATTTACTACAGATGAAAGTTAAGAAAATGTGCATCGCAACGATTTTGCATTTTTCTCATTGAACATTTTCTCTTCTAGATGATGACTTCAAGACACATTTTTGCTCCGTACGGCAATTTAAATACGTGTATTTCCGCACGTTCTGGCTTCTTAAACGACGGAGAGCCCAGCAGCAGTACGATGAGAAACACATCACCGATACTGGTGGATGCGAGCATAAACAAGGACTCTGGAAACTTGCCCAATACCTCTTCCACGGTAGTCGTACGCGAGGGACCAAAGTATTATTGTCTCAGATCGGTGGTTCAGCAAACGGATTGCTTGAATACAAATGTGTTAGACTGTTCCATCACGTTCAGTGTGGATAAAAATATTTGTGTGGTGGGTGTACAGGTTCCTACGCAGATCGCGGCGGTAAGCTAGAAATTAATATGTAATTTATTATATCCGTTCAGTTATGTATATCGCTCCTACATCTCACTCGTTTCATTTATAGGCGAGTAATTTCACTCACGCCATAGACGCCGATACGTCTTACACCGAAATTTTGTACGCTCATCTCCTCGATTGCGACGGCACCCGGTTGACGTACACACATTTCACCACCAAAGCGAATTTTGGTACTCTCGTGGAAATTACTTTCAATCGACCAGTTTATATTCAGAAGCACAAGGTTTGTTATTACAACACATGATTACTTTTTCCACTACGTACAATCAATTTTATATCAAGCAAAAATTCCTAAAGCAAAGATTTTCTTTATATTCTCAAGTGTCGAAGTTTTTCACTTTCAATTTATTGTTTTTCATTGATTGTATAATTGTATTGTGGAATTTTTATTTTGTTATTAACAGGTTTATCGAGTCGGTGTGGTATTTAATAAGGCTGGATGGTACCCAGTAGGAGTTTGCGCCCAAAACATGTCCTGTGATTCTGTGTTCTTCTCGTTCGGCGTGGGTAATACTGCACATGCAATTCGCGACGGTCTTATTCGATCTATAGTTTTCACATATCATTAACGCAACGAATCAGGTGACAGATGAAAAATCGCATACACACTTTAAATTTGTGATAAAGTAGAAATCTACTTTTACGTTGTATATTATATTATTTTATTTTTTAAAATTTATCAGTGTCTTTCATTGCAAATTGCAAAACTTTGGGGCAACACCAATATTATACTCATCAATTCTAGTTATAAAGATATAATTTATTCTATAGATATGACTTTCTTTAACACGTTCGCTACCATGCGTTACATGTATGTATGACGCACCAATTTTCGTGAGAGAATCGTACATACGTAATACAACTTTGTATCATCGTACATATGTGACGCTTTATGCAACACGTTCTTGTTCAGTACATGTGTTTGTAAGTGAAAACGTAGCATACTGTGCATACTTATTAAAAATAAAGTTTGTAGCGGTTGGTTTTCCAGCGGTAGCGAACGTATTAACTTATGGTATTGATATGATTGTACAATATACTTTTACTATACAGTATTGTATTTTGTACAGTATACTTTTACAAAAAGAAGAATCTAAATTTTACTGTTTAAAAAAACTTTTATTATTTCGTCTTACATATGAATTTTTTCATATATTTCGATTTTCCTTGTAAAACATCAATTCAAGAATACAATGCATGTAAAAAGTAAAAAAATTTATAACTTAACTGTTTTTTACTTACAATTCTATGTTTTAATTATACCTGTTGTAAACAAATCTAAAAATATTGTTTTAAATTAATTATAAAATATATATGCTTATAATATATTTATATTCTTTCTTTAAATATATATTTGCGATTTTTGTAATATCAAACACCGTTAGGGATTACTATCGCAAGTAACGATAAAACATTTTATAAAATAGAATCAGTCTATACACAAATTCGTGTTTAACTTTTACAATATTATTAAAGGACTCGCCATTATAACATTATTCATATATTTGTGGCACTTGTTACCTCATTATAACAAGATATTTCGTCACATACATATGTGCGCATTATAAGCAATAACATTTATTCGCATGTACTTGGCCAGAAATAAACTTTTTTTTTTTAATAACTTCTATATGAAATCTGTTAAAGAACTTCTACAAGTTAAAACAGTTTGGGTCATAACGTCGACAAAATAGAATTTATTATTATAAGTGTTATTATTGTAGGCGGTCTTTGTATCAAATGACTATAGAAATTATTTCATACAATGTTTACACGATGCGCTGTCTGGTCACATAAGCAATAATGTTGACGAAAAGCAGTGAGCTCACGACATAGTATTACACACACACACACACACACGCGCGAACGCACGCGCGCGCGCGCACACACACACACACACACACACAAAGTGTATTGGCATTACTATTGAAACTAGATTTGATTACTGTGAAAAAGCATCTCTCAGATATGTTACGTTGTGCGTTTATAAATATTTAATTAAAATTATCTGGATAACTCACAAACCTTTTCAATTGCACTGTAAAAGTCTTCATACGAAATACAAACGATTTCATAGTTCTTAAAAAAAAAATTTTCCGGCCAAGTACATGCGAATATAACATTTTCTAAATCCTTTCATAAAAATACGCTAATAACGTCTGTTATGTAAATGTCATGTGTTTCAATACATAATGGTCTTAAAGTTAAAAATATTACGTCTTGTATAACAGGCTTCGTAATGCTTAAACTTGGCGAATTCTTACGTTTTATGTACAATGAAGTCCCAGGTATCTTTCCACCTTAATTTTATCACGTCCTTGGCAGTGAGAGCTGATGTTCCATAACTGAATACAATGAATTTCTTGAACACGTAGATAATAATAAATACCCAAGCAAAGATACCGCATGCTACGATGTACAACGAAATGCTCCACGCTGAACAATGAGTGCTGAAATAGAAAATATGACAAGTAATTCATAATTATTTTATATGAAAATGGAATTGTATTTAAGTTTGCATTCTTTTACTAAACCGAAGAACATACCCAATTAAATAATACAGATGATCAATTGTGGCTGCCGTTAATAAGACTTTGAAAATGAAAGCTGGTAAATAGTGATGCAAGAATAAAGTTCGTTCAACGAATAAGTAAGGTAAGAAATGAAGAAAGTATCCAGCTAACAGTACATAAGCGTTGTTAACGAACTTTTCCCACTCTTCCTCTGGAATGTCGAAACATTGTCTTCTCCTCCTCATTAAATAAAATATCAGTAGCGTTACGTATACAATTACTGAGATTGTACCGGAGTACCAAATTATGATGTTTCCTAAAAGGTGCACTTGTGCCTGGAACAATGAGCAAAATGTTTACTTTATAAGAGCCAGCAAAAATTTGAAACTAATTCAAATTCATTGAAAAATTGAAGTAAGGTAAAAAAAAGTAAAAACAAGGAAAATATTGAACGTATTTAAAATATGCCTTATTTTGCCTTAACGATATATTGATTGGCGAAGCGTGTAGAATTTTCCGACTCACATTGCTGTCGTTAGACACCCAATACGCGATCCCGCGGGACATCAACGGCCACTCGAGAGGTCCGCTGGAATACATGTGGCTGTTTTGACCCTCTTGGCCGCCAAACAACATCTTCACCTGCAGCTCTGCGAATTTTTCCCAGAAGCTCAACGCGGTCGCCTGTAACGGTATCATTTCTGCGCTGATCAGCTCCCGTTCCCGTTGCTTCTGGTCCTCGCTTTTGGTATACCGATGCTCCTCGACATTCCAGATGGAATTGGTCTGGTCCACCAGCCGGTCCGCCACGACCTCGTGCTGATTGTAGCCCCAGTCAGGCAATTGTCTGCCGCTGAACTTCAACGCGAACTCGGCTCCATTTGCGTGCACGTGTATCAGCCGCACCTGGCTCTGAATCGCGTGCCACGCGTCGCCGGAATGATCCCTGTTCGTGATCTCCACTCGCCACAGGTTCTGCGCCGGCATAGACACGTTGTAGTCGATGTAACACGACACTTCTTGACTCTGCGGCGTCATCGGCGCCGCAACGTCGTGCGAGTTCAACGCTCTGCTCGTAATCCCGTGCACCAGTTGTATCACATCACCGTGCCGAATAGGCTCACTGGGTTTCGTCACCACTAGATCGTTCTTGTCCGGTTTCTTGACGATCCACCAGTTGTTAACGTCCTTAAACGAGTAACAAGTGACCTGCTGCTGATGAGAGCTGCCACGACCATCGGGATACCGTAACGGATACACTTGATTATGACTGTGCAGCCAACAGGCTCTGCCATACGTGTGTCTGAGAGTTATCTGCGAACCGTGCGTCACTTCCAGAGGTTGCCCTTTCGTGATGCTAGCGAGTCCTCCTTCCAGACTCGCTTGGAATGCGCTCGTCATCACCGAATCGTGTGGTCCCGCCTTCGAGAGTACTGCCAAATGTACGTAGAATATACTCAAATATACGGCGGCAAAAACAGCGATCAGCACGATGAATCTTAGCAAAAGATGAATCCACAAGATCGTGTTCGACAGGGCCTTTCTTGAGAGCAGGGACCAATAATCGTGAGTAATCAAGAAGAGCGCGAGAGCCATAGAATAAAATCCAACGTACTTCACGCTGTAAAAGAATGCTTTAATTATAGTCGATCGAGAATAAGAGGGAAGGCGAAGAAAAAGATTGTACCATAGTGCACATGTTAAATTCACGATGCCTAATATCAGCCATATCCACCAGGATGCGGATATCGGTCGATCCATAATTTTCCGAAATTTTACGATGCACAACAAGCCGAGCAATGAAAAATGCATCAAGATACTTTCCATCAGGATAAATCTCGACTGTGTCAACAGTGCATTATCTAAAACAGCAATAGGCACATCAGTAAATCATGTTAGAACTGCAGTAGCAAAGATATCACGGAATAAGGTTTAATTTTGAAATATTAAATAATAAAATACATATATGAATTATACAATAGAATCTCGCTACATCTATTATTTCAAGCATAGCAGAATATAAGCTGTAAACGTGCTAATACTTTTTAATCCAAAGACAGAAATGAAGATAGAACATAAGAGGGCGAACAGCATATTGCAGTCGCGCGATTTTCTGCGTAATACAATTTCTAATTTAAGAGGAGACTACCGAGTAAGAGTAAAATTCCGCCAATTGCTGCGGCCCATTGTCTCAGACCCAACTCCAGGACGAGATAATATCCCGTGGGGATCAGTAGACTGCCGCATATTGCCGGTACCAGACGCAATGCATATAAAGGAACCGCATCGCTGTAAGGACTTCCGATCCTGTCGAACTTAAATTGTCCGTCGAACCCAGCCAAGTACGCCGCTGCGGAGACCAATTGCTTCCCTAAAGGCGGGTGGGAGTCGAAGAAGAACGTTCTCTTCATGTATAATCCGACGTACTTGCCATAATGCAGTTCATCGAAGCTGTGTGAGAGAGAGAGAGAGAGAGACAAGTAATTATAACAGACTGATAAATAATAGATAATAATTGAAAGGATAAAAGAAAATTAATGTTAGCCATTAAGCTTTCCGATTTCTACACTTTTTAATTTCATTTGGTTGTTCTATAATTGCATTTTAAATGACAGAAGAATAAATATATATAATAATATATAAGTAACAAGCACTAGAGAATAATCTCGAATTTTTTCAAAGCTATATATCTGTCATTTATTCATATTCATTTTGCATGATAAAACTGATTAGAGATCTTTTAAAAGCAAATTCAGTAATATTTCCGAATTATATATAACTTTGTCTTTCTCGATGCTTATTAATCGGTTACTAACAATAAGAACGATTACATAAATATTTCGCGGAAATTACAGGAAATAAGGGTAATTGCAAACTTTCATATCTTTATATCATCTTAATGACATAATATATCATTTACGTAAATCATCCTCTTATCAGGGTTATATTATTTCTCAGAAGTGTATACATATGTACTTACACTATGCTGCGCGGTTCCTCGAGGCGATAAAGGCGAGTGCAAATGCCCGTAATTAATAGAATCACCGCTATCAGATCAATTTCCAAACTGATCCTAATTCGAGCGCGAACCGCATTATTCGATAAAAGTTGCTTCAGCTCGGCAGAATACGATATATTTGCTTTATTACTTTCTATCGAAGTATTCGGATCTGTCTCTTTGTTCGGCTGCAATAAATAAAAATCAATACAGTAATCAATATAATATGCGATCAAATTTGATAATTGATTTAGGAAAAAACTGCAAGCAATCAAATTGATAAGATATATGGATATAATTTCTTGATAAAAATTTTATTGACCCATTAATTAATTTATTAGTATTACATTTCCTGTATATGTAATAAAGATATCGAATTTAAACATATATATATTTAAATTGTATTTTTTTCATTACATATAAATGAAACAGATTTTTAATATAATATTCGAAGTATATATATACATTATTCTTTACAGAGTGTCGTTGTCCTATTTCATCTGAATTGAATAAAATTTGAATAATAGTTTCAAGCCAATTTTCTCTTTACAAAGATAAAACATATGCAATTAAGATTTTTTGTTGGAACGGGATTAGAAAATGTGTCAATGTTTAATTTACCTATTTCTAAATTTAATCTTTAATATTGGCCGAGATATTTTCCGAATTAAATGTAAAATCATTGACATTAATGATGTTCAAATATCTTTCTCTTATAAAATCGGTCTTTAACATCTTTCAATAAAAAAAAAAGTAACAAAACACCTTAATATATAATGTTAAATGTATAATGTAGTAATGTGTATATATTATGTAATATGTAATAATATTTATCACTCTCAGAAAAGAATTCTAGATACAATACTATTAGGATCGAAATAGGGCCAATCATATTTAGTATTGAAAGAAGAATATTTTAATCTTAAATAAAGGAATTCTTAAATTAGACTTCTAGAAAAAAGAATATTTTAATCTTAAATAGAGATATTCTTAAATCTAGAATAAAATAATCTTGATGCTATCCCTCTAATTTTCTCAGAATTATTCTAGATTCAAGAATTCCTCTATTTAAGATTAAAATATTCTTCTTTTAATACTAAATATGATTGGCCTTATTTCGATCCTAATAGTATTGTATCTAGAATTCTTTTCTGAGAGTGTGGTGTGTATCTTTTATGTACAAGAATTTTTATCCCAAAAACCTCCAGATCCACAAATCGGAGTAAGACGCCGTCCGAGCTCCTCGCCCTCGGTTCTCACGACGAATCTAAAAATTCGTATCGCGCTATCGACACGGGAACGCCGGAAAAACATTCCCGCCGGGAAAACGTCGTCGGGTTTGAACGTCGCGGCTCACCTCGTCCCTCCGAACCGTCCTCGGCTGATCCGCCGTCGCGTCGGCGTCGTGCTTGCCGTCCTGCGGTTTTCCTCGCCTGCGCCGGACCTCCATCGCCATCGTACCCAAGATCCGTTGGGAAGAGAGAGAGATAGAGAGAGATCGTCAGATCTCCTCAGGACGACGAGGCGGGAGATGAGGACTGGTCCCGGGTGTCGCTCCGAAACGATGTGCGAGATCCGCCGTTTAAAGGGCACCTTGCGAGATCCGGCCGCCCACACGTCAGCGCCGCTCTCGCTCGACCCGCTGGACCTCTCTCTCACGGAGGTCGCGTGGCTTCGATCTTCCCCCCCGACGATTCTCGCGGGTCCCTGAAACGCTCTTCCGGTAGTTGAGGTAGTTACGATAGTTCCCGTGTCAGGAGTAGGAGTCAGGACTCCGCGTGCGGTCGTGACAGAGATCGAGGAGCCGAACTCTCTCGCGGCACGTTGCCCGTCGCCGAGGTTAGCACGAGTTTGAGATAACGGTACTTGCCGTCGCCGGGGATCGCCCGTCCGCCGGTGGTTCTGCGCACCGCGCGGCAAAGTCCCGCGTCTGCTCCCGCTCTCGGGACGCGTCTTCGCGGCATTCCCGTCGCTGTCACCGCGGACGACCCACGTGTCGTCCCCGCCATCGTGTTCCCCGTTCCCTCGACACTTCTCTTGGAATGCGCGATTAAAACCATAAATTAAAACGACCGTGACTACCACTATCTGTGACGAACGCTTTTGGAACGAAACGATAACGATTCGAAACAAACGACGCGGCAGTCGAACAAGTTGTTATCTTTTTGAGAATAATGTGTACAGGATTTTAGATTTTTTTCTGAAAATAATGAGATTGTCCCATTCTGGGCACAAAAATCAGTAAAAATGAAAGACTACGTCGCTTCCTTTGCAATTTCATTGTCCACCTGACACCCATTATCTTTAACATTATTAATTTCTATTGTCTTTATCATGTTTCAGCTATTCTGTGTGTCAAGAGAAATTATTTATTTATTTTTCTTGCATCTACATTGGCGGATAACCTTTGAATAAAAAGAAGACAAGATCAGGACTTTGTTATCATTAATTTATCACCACAAACATGGATACTGACAAAGTATTGTGTCCGATATGTGCCAAGGAATTCGATTCCTCTGTCATCGAGGCCCATGCCAGCAGGTGCTTATTCCTGAATGAATCTACGAAGGACGAAGGCATAATGTTGCTTAGAGACTCCAGCCCCACAATCAAAAGAAACAGGCTAAAGCCGGCAAGTGTGAACAGAGTTAATCAAACGCCTGGCAAGAGAAAGAGTTCTTTGGATCAGCTAACTTCACAGAGTTTCAGGGACGAAGAAGATATTAAGGACGTCGTGCCACAGAAAAGTGTAATTTTTTTTATTATTATAGAACTACAATATATGATATAAGAAAATATGTTTATACAATCATATAAAATAACATACATCTTATTACACTTAATTATTTTGTAATATATGCCAAAATGACTTCTACTTACAGGCAGATAACGAAAGCAAGAAGCCACGCGGAAACGAGCGTGTACCCCTCGCAGAACAAATGAGACCTACGTCGCTACTAAACTTTGTAGGCCAGAAGCATATCCTTGGACCTCGCACCGTGCTCTCTGAACTCCTGCAAAAGGGCGAAATACCTAATATGATTCTCTGGGGTCCGCCTGGATGTGGCAAAGTACATGCTATTGCTTGTCCGTTAGAATTTTTGCATGTTGGTCGTATGTTGGAAGGTATATATTGATTTCTTTCTTTTTTTGCAGACATCTTTGGCTAATGTCATAGCGCATATATGCAAGAACGACCGTAAGCAACGATTTGTTAAGCTCTCTGCTGCAATGGCCGGCGTCCAGGAGGTAAAGGAAGTCATCAGTATCGCCAGCAATCATACCAAATATGCGCAACGTACAATAGTGTTCATGGACGAGATACATAGATTCAACAAGTTGCAGCAGGACGTGTTCCTGCCGCACGTCGAATCGGGAACCATTACTCTCATCGGGGCGACAACGGAAAATCCCTCGTTTAGCTTGAACTCCGCATTGCTGAGTCGATGCAGAGTGATCGTTTTGCACAAATTATCCATCGTGAATTTACTAGCGATCTTGAAGCGTGCAGTAATTTCGCTGAAAGGTATAATACATGCATCGGATAAAGGTGAAAGCACTTTGCAAGACATCAGCGAAGAAAACACATCGGAGGAAAGTAGAGTCGAGATGGAATCGTCCTGCAATACGAAGTTTATTGTAGACGAACCGACGATAGAGTGGTTAGCTGGAACTTGCGACGGTGATGCTCGCATAGCGTTGGGAGGACTAGAAATGGCAGTACAATGTAAAGCACCGAACGAGGAGGAATTATTGGACGCTGGTCCGGCATTAATAACGCTGGACGACATCAAGGAGAGCCTGAAGAAAACGCATATGCTGTACGACAAGACGGGTGAACAACATTACGACATGATCTCTGCGTTACACAAGTCTGTCAGAGCCAGCGACGAGAACGCTTCGCTTTACTGGCTGACCAGAATGATCGCCGGCGGTGAGGATCCGGTTTATATCGCGCGAAGATTAGTGAGGATGGCTAGTGAAGATATTGGCTTAGCTGATCCGAAAGCTCTTGGTTAGCAATTTGTTTATTTATAATTTCCAAACTCACATAAAATATATATTTCGTTAGTAATGATATCGCAGTATATATAATAGATTTGTAGAATGATTGATATTTATAACGCGATTAATATTTATGATAACATATGATTAGGCTTTACTTCAAATCTGAAAATATCTGAAATATATCTTATGTAAACAATGTTGTGTAGGAATAGCAGTACACACGATGCACGGTTGCAAAATGATCGGGATGCCGGAGTGTGATGTTCTTTTAGCGCAATGTACGACTTATTTAGCGAGAGCACCAAAATCTAGACTGATGGAAGATGCGCTCAGAGCCGCGCAAAGAACGGTAGCCGAGCATAAGGGCCCGCAGCCAGGAGTGCCCCTGCACTTGAGGAACGCCCCCACAAGACTCATGAAAGATTTGGGTAAATATTTGATTCTCCACCTTAATTTACTTTTAATAAATCGAATTATTACTTTAGGGTACGGTAAGGGATACAACATGATGCACAAGGACGAATCTGGATTGGGCTATCTGCCGGAGGGATTGGAAAATTTAGATTTCTTTGGAGATGACGAGGATAACATCTAGAAATGCTGTGGTAATTGCTTTAGTTTAGTTATATTTTGTCATGATATCGCGTTATTTGTTTCGTACAAAACGATTCTTATTACATTTTATAAGTTTTATACTAAATCTCTCAAGGATTAAAATTTTAATTATCGTAAATGTAAGCTATAGCATGTATATGTATATATAATTACAGTATAAAATATTTTTAATAATAGTACAAGGTGTATATAATACTGTAACCATAACAGGATGTAGATATATAATACTGTAAAAATATTAAAAAATATTTTTAGTGATCCCTCGCGCGACCAGAAAAGTAATTAATTTGAGATTCAGTTGAATAAAAATAGACTTAAATTTAGTTTAGTTATATTTTGTCACAATATTGCGTTATTTTTTCGCGTACAAAGAGATTCTTATAAAATTTAAAAGTTTTATACTAAATCTCAGGGATTAAATTTTTATGCATTAACATAAATGTAAGCTATAGCATGTACATATGGAGGGGTAAAAACCGCAGTGGTTAAGTCAAATTTTTAAAAATATTTTTTCGTGTGCATAGATGCACTTTATATATTGTATAGATTGCATCTATGCACGCGAGAAAAAATTTAAAAAAATTTGACTTGCACCACTATGACTTTTACCCCTCCATATATAATTACAATATAAAATATTTTTAATAATAGTACAGGGTGTATATAACACTGTAAAAATATTAAAATATATTTTAGTGATTCCTCGCGCGACCAGAAAAGTAATAATTTGAGATTCAGTTGAATAAAAATAGACTTGATTTTAAGTTCAACGATAATTTTTCACTTAATCGCAAATCTGTATCACCAATTTCAATTCCTTATGAATGCATATATTTTTTCCAAATTATCGTTTTGTTATTAGCTGGCATATCTACGATTTCTATTAATTTAATATCGTTCTCTTCAGCTAATTTTTTCAAGTCTGTTACATCTCGCAAACCCCAACTTGGATCCTGCGATTTCAAAGACTCGTTGAAATTTACGTTACTCTGCGGAGTGATCTGGCCATCGAAAGCGTACGGTCCGTACGTGATTAATAGCCCGTTCGGCTTCAGCAATTGGCCCGCGTTGATAAATAAACCGATGGTGCACTGGTACGGCGAGATATGCATCATGTTTGCGTTATATATGTATTCCAAGCTGTTCGGCTTGAAGATACCGTCACCCCACATCCGGAAGTCCGTGGTGATGTCAATTCTCAAGGGGCTTTTTATATTAGAGTATCCATTCGCGTACGCGGCGATGCTACTCAGAAGTCGCGGCTCGTACTCCGAAGGATAAAACGTGACGTGTGGGAAATGCGGCGCGAAATGTGCCATGTGCTGTCCTGAACCGGAGGATATCTCCAAGAAGGTCTGATTGGTGCCGCGTTGGATGTACCGTTTTAAAACTGATAATATCGGATCCTTATTACGGTCCGCCGCAGGATAAACGAGCTTTTTGGCAGCCATAGTGTGCGACCTTGAAGAAATTTTCAGTTTCACTTCCTACAGTAAGTTTGTAGATGCATGTATTATTACATAATATTGCCTGCTGTTAAATTGCAAAGTGACGTGTGCAGTAAGCTTTGTAAAATTTGTTAAAATATATCATGTTATTTGTATGTCATATCACTGTATGTCCTGATTATTTCACTTCAAAAATTGACTTGTGCCACTTTGAAATTAAACAGCTGAAGGGTAACCATTCTTTAATTTCAAATCTCACCTGTGATTAACAGCGTAATGAATAATATTCATTTCTATGTTATGCTAGATGTAACATTTATAGCAAGAGATTGCATACCCTGAAAAATGCAAATATTTTCTTTTACTGTTATATAAAATTGTATATTTGACTTTGTTAGGAAATAATCTACTATAGTAAATCTTAATTATTGAAACGAACATATTGTTGTGTCCAATACTTAAGAAACAAGTTAATATTTCGATAAGTAAACTTAAAATATTATAGATAGGAGACTGAAAATAAATAGTATTGAGAGAGATGATAGAGAATAAAAATATTTAATTTAGTGATATTGATTTTTATTAATGGATAATAATTTATTATACAATTAGCTATATATTTGATATAATTTTCATTCTCATGGTTTCTTAAAACATATTTTACATTTGATTGTTAATCTCCATTTCTGAATCGATATAATCGTCCTAAAGAAATTGGAGGTATCGCCAAACAGTCCAAGTATTTAAAAAAACTAAAGTATTCTAACAAGTCTTTGTGCAAGATATGTACAGAAACACAATCCCTATAGAGTCCGCAGAAGATACATGTCATACATAAAGAAACCTTTCATGTCAATCATAACAAATTATATTGCTCTTCAATTATAATAATTAACTATAATTTCAATGTTTCCTTTTATCCGTGTCGTCTTTTCCTTTGGGTGTTACTTTTTTCTTTTTCTCTTGGCTCTTTTTACTTTTCGTTAATTCTGGTATATATACAGAGTGTCCGGTTTTCTTTAAATGTTCAAATAATTTATTTTTACTAGGAAACTCAGATGAGCAAGAAACACAGCGATGAGTCAGATCGTCAAATCCATCAAATCCATCCGCGACTGAATCCTTTTTATTTTTGCCTTTACTCTCTCGTTCCTCTTTCTTAGAACCTTTCTTTGCTTTGTCGGCTTTCAGTCTTTCATCAACAACACTTGCTTCTTCCATCACTCTGCCTTCACTCTCTGCTTCTTGGTCCTCTTCTTTGTGCGTCTCTTCTTTATTTCGCAACTGTTTACTCAGCTCTATTTTCCTCTGCTGTAACTTCTTGCGTTGTTTCTTTGACAGCCATATTTCCTCGTTAATGCTCTCCGTGTTGTCGTCGCTAGCAAGTTCAAGCACAGGATTAGGATTTTGAATACTACGCTTCTTCTTCTTCTTTTTCTTCCGACGACTCGACAGCGCGACGTCTTCTTCTTGATCAGATATTAATTCGTCTTCGGAAGTTATGTTATCATCTTCATTTTCTATTTTATGTGAAAATGAAATATTTTCACCCATTTCTGGTCCCGCGGCCAGTGGGACATCTCCATCTGTTTTCGTCTTCTCGGTTGTCGGTTGAGAACATTTTGGATTTTCCTCATCGTCCGACATCAGTTCGGCAGGAGAGATATCACCGTCATTATCCTCGTCATTCGGTTTCGAATCGCTTCGAGGAGGGTTCAGCAAGAAATCAGGCATCTGTGAATCTGTTGCTAATTTAGGCCCGTTCAGCGAAACTGATTCTTTTTCCGTGCTCGAATCGCTTTCTCGAGAACTACTACGGAGATCCTCGTCCTCGATCGGCATGACACGTTTGAGTGCGCTGACGTTTTCCTTGTGCTTCTTCGAGATCTCGTGATTTGCGAAAGCCTTGTGCGTCTGAAAAATCTTATCGCAAGCGATACAATAAAATGCATCTGGATTGCTGTTTCTCGTCGTTACCTTCCTGTCATCTATTCCGAACTCCGCCGTTAGATTCGCCTCGATGTTCTTCAGCTGTGCCTCCATGTTCGAGAACTTGGACCATTCGGATTCAGCTTGAGATTGATCCCGCAACAGTCTCTGCCTCTCCAGCAGCTGCTCCTTCCTCCGCTCCTCTGCCTTGCGGAAGTTCTCGCGGGCGCGTTCGGCCAGCTTCGCCGCGTATACCTGCACACGCTTGTCGCGCTTTCGAACAAAAGCAACCAGATTCCGCACCATCTCGTTCCTCTCGCGCTTCGCCTTGTCGCGCACTTTCTTGTTCTCCTTCTTGGCAATCCTGATAATCTGCCGGTTCCGTATTTCGCGTATGTCGTACCGATCCACCCAAGCGTAGGATCTTTTGGTACTGTAACTCTGCCAGTAGGCATAGAAATCGCCCACCGTATCCTCGTAGGAGCTCTGAGAGTCACCAAAGCCAGGTACTTCCTCGTCGGAATCGCCATCTTCGGCGAACTCAGCGTCCTCCGCCGCCAATTGCTCGAAAACCTTTCTGTAGACAGTGTAGAAACCCTTCTCGTCGTCCCCGTAGCCCTTGAAGCACGAGAGGGAGAAGTATGGGAAAAGATTGATGGAGTCGTCCTTGTAATCCTCCCCGATGCCACCTTTCAGGATGGCCTCGCGATGATTGTCATACCAAGCACGCTCGTGGGGATCGCTCAGTATCTCCCACGCTTGCTGGACAAGCTGGAACTGTTCCTTAGCCTCATCCGGACTGTCGAGGTTCTTATCTGGATGCCATTTCAACGCCAGCTTCCTGTACGCTTTTTTTATGTCGTCATCGGGGGCATCTCTCTCGACTCCCAATACTTCGTAGTAACACTTCATTGTACCGCTGTACGATTACGCACTGCTGGACACAATTTCCTTACTTAAACCACAAACCGTACGCTAAAAGAATTTAGATTATTAAACTACGAGACCAAACAGCTTGTAGATAATGTAACGTTCAGTTTGATTAGAAATGATTTACGAGTTCATTCGCTTTGTTGCATGAACATAATAATATGACAAAATCTAAAAATAAATAAATAAATAATACATTGGAAAACGTTATTACAAATGCAAGTAGAAGACAATGATACTGATAATTCTTCAAATTCTTAGATTTTCTGACTTTTTTATCCATTTACCCAGTCTTAAGTGTTGTTAATGAATCATATTATTAATAACCTATATTTTATCTTAAAATTCTCTCGAAAGTGCCAAGTGATGATTCAACTTGGCAAGATCAATCGGGAGGAGAGGTACAGGTACATGTGTAACAATCTCGTAAATTATTTCGAACCGAGATAAAACGTCTCCCGCTTTATTACCCTATTCGAAGGAAAATTCGCGTGTATAAAATACACGTGCCAATATCGCGATCGCGCGTCTTTTATCCATTCCTGTTACTGTCGATCGTCGACGACACTTTGAAAGAGGAGCGTGCTAAGTGCTTACCCAGGAGCTTATCGATCTTATTGTTGATGACACTGCGCACAGCTGACGCGCAATCGATGTTAAATATTCGAAATCGCAATTAGCGTATAATAATAACAATCGTATTTAGCACATAATTATACATGTGTATTACATATCTCGACGAGGGCGACGAGGCCGAGGTGTTCGTAGCTCTGTTCTTCGTAACTGTACTCTTTTACACTTTCTGCACTTAAGATGAAATAGACCGTACGTGAGAAAGAAAAGGAGGAAAGGTAAAAAGTGCAAACAATTTTGTCGAAGACCGGATTAATTTATGTCCATTTCTATCCATAAACTTAAGAAAGAGATAGAGTCTTAAGGTGATCCTAAAGCTGTGATTCTAGCCGGTTTTTTTCAGTTTTTTTCTTAGCACTAATCTTTTAATTGGCTTTATAGAAATGCAAAATTCTTGTCTAGAATTAAAGTACGCATCAAAATCTAGGTCATGGTGGTCGAATTTATATGTGGTGGTCGTCACGTATAACAAAAAATATTAATTTTTTTTCGTTTTCGATATAAATTCGACCACCATGACCTAGATTTTGATGCGTACTTTAATTCTAGACAAGAATTTTGCATTTCTATAAAGCCAATTAAAAGATTAGTGCTAAGAAAAAAACTGAAAAAAACCGGTTAGGATCACGGCTTTAGGATCATCTTAAGGGGATCCTAAACTGACCCAAATTACCGACAATTGCAGGGAG